CCCCCCCCTCAACCTCCTCTTTTTTCCCACCACCGCTACTGTAGCACATAATGCGGATCATTTGTTTATTTATTTATTTATTGCTATACAGACCATTTATGGTAGCCAACCATTGCATTCCGCTTTCGATGATCGATTTGGTGTTTAATTTTTTTTCGATTAATTGATTTTCAGGATGCTCCAGATGGTCTCAAGGCGAAGAGGTTTGTTGGTCAATTGATTTGATCCTTGACGTGATTAATTGATTTGATCCTTATTTTGATTAATTGATGTGATCCTTATTTGTTTTATTGATTTTCAGGATGCGCCAGGATCGTCTCAAGGCAAAGAGGCTGCCGCCGATGAGCATTCCCGACGAGGAGGAAGGAGAAGATGAAGGAGATATCCTTGCATGGGTGCATAAATCTCGGCGCCTGGAGGTGGAAAAGAAGGCCTATGAAGTAGAAGGAAGGCGATCGGGGCAGGTACGTGGGAAAAGAGAGAGGAGGTGGGGTTGGGTGGGGGGGAATATATACAAGTTTCCTTTATTATTGATATTTTAATAATTTTATATTTTTTGATCATTCTTTTTTTCTTTTTTCTTTTTCTTCTTTGTTGTTTATCCAATCTAAAAAGCAGTTGCCTGTGCACAAGCTGCGATCCTTCTTTTCTTTTCTTTTTTTTTTTTCTTTTTTTCTTTTTTTTTTTTTGGAAAGGCAAAGGTCTTGAGAGAGATGTCATCATTGAAGCTGACCATCCCCATCCCCAGGTAATTCGTAATTATGTTAGTCTGGGCATCTGATTGTATCTGGATTCGAAAACTTGATTGAGTCTGTATTTCTAGTAGTTTCTAGTGTTTTTCTAGTAATTTCTACTATTTCAATTTTCAACAGTTCGTGGGTGTTACGGATTGAGATAGGCTCTTTTGCTTTTGGTCCGTTTCTTATTTTAGGGGAGGGTTAGGCCTTAAGGGTGGTTTGCACTTCGATGTAGAGTATGTCTGATGAACTTCAATAAAAATACGCTTTGGATGCAAAGAAAAGCCAATCAAAATTGATGAAAATAAGAAAAAACGTGTATTCACAAAGAAAACATGAATGCATGCTTGCTGGTAAATAATGGTGAGAGGTGATTTACCCAGCAGCAATTATGTGAGGGAGGATAACCAGGAAGGGGTCGAATTCAAGTGCCGGGTAAATCTGGTGGGTAAATCTGGAGGGTAAATCTGGCGGGTAAATCACGTTCAACTAAGGGGAGAGGGAGACGATGGAAGTTGTGGAGGGTTGGATTTAACTGGAGGGAGGGAGGGTAAATTACCTTCAATTAAGGTGAGTGGTGGAAGAGCGAAGTTACTGGGGTTGAATTTAACTGGAGGGTAAATCACACTTCCAGTTGAGTTACGTGGTGAGGATAAGCAGGGGGAGGGGTCGGGGGATTGAATTTAACTTTAACTGGAGGGTAAATCACCGCCAGGTAAGTAATGTGGGAGAGCTGGAAGTATGCTTCTCGGAGGGGGGATTGCCTCCAATTATCCGAACTCGGTCTTTTTTTTTTTTTTTTTTTTTGGTGCACTTTTTGTCTTCTTTGGGTGAAACTGATTTGGGATGTGGAGCACTAACCCCCCTCCCCGCTCCAGCCATACTAATGGGTATCATTAACCAGATGATGGATAACCAATGGAGGATGATGGACGGTGATTAACATCGCTTGTACGGATAATCGCGAGAGTGAACAACGTTAAACGATGACGACAAGTAACTGATGATGCATGTTGATTGAAAATTAAGATGAAAGAAGATGATTGAAGACGATTGGAGATTTTAGGATGATGAAGATGATTGAAGATGATTGAAGATTAGGATGATGAAGGTGATAAAAAATTGGGAGCATGTTGAAGATGATTGGAGATTAGGATGATATGACGAAGATGATTGGAGATTAGGATGATATGACGAAGACGATTGAAGATTAGGATATGGTGAGGAGTATGATGATCGTTGATAGACTGGTGACATGAAAATGGGTGGACGATGAAATATGATGATGCAATAGTGGTTTTCTCCGTGATTTGAGTGAGGGCCCGTTCTCTTCTACTCCATGAGAAAGGTGGCACTTATGTGAGAAAGATGATGCTGCTTTTAGTAATCAAAGCAGTGAAATGTTGAGATCCCTCAAGACTATTATTATGAAATTCATTGTTCTTCTTTTGTGTACCCTTCTTGTTGTTCAAACAGGATCGGCAGGGTGACGTTTCGGGGTCGGAGAGTGAAGATGGAGGTGTGCACAGTGCAAGTAAGTGTTATCCTGAACAATGCAGAAAATTTTTGCAATTGCTGTAAAATTATGTATCTATATATCCGTACATCTATATGTGTCTACCCTATATATCGTGAAACAGAACTGCCCGGTGAACCGTAGGCAGAGAGGGAGAAGAGGACAACAAATGAAGGGCTGTGACAAACTGTTTCGTCGGAGTTCCACCGATTCATCAGGAGGCTGAACCCTCAATTATCGTGGTGCCCTGTTACACTATTCCTCTCTCTCTCTTTCTCTCTCTCTCTCTCTCTCTCTCTACTCTGTCTCTCTTTCTCTCTCTACTTTTTTACTAGGAAAGTAAAGAAATGTGTCTTGTAAGGTGAGGTCCCCGACTTGCACAGATTAAGAGATACTGGCTGTCGATTTTCGCTACTCTATCTGTGATACGCATAATTCGTGTGAACCACTGGCACAGATTAAGGGACACTCTCCTTCTCTCTCTCTCTCTCTCTGGTTCTTTTGGATTGACTTTTATGTTTCTTTTTCTAGGTTTCTTTTCGGTGTTTAGTTTCGCATTTAATGTCTTTTTCTTGTTGCATGTAAACCAATTAGCTTCAGGGTTTGTTTTTGTCCTTGAGTTTTCCTGATGAATATGCTTCAGTGTGTGGCTTTCTTGACTGGATGATTCATTTTTTCCCCTTTCTCTCTTCCCTTCTGGGGGTTTGCTGGTCTTATCCGATTCGATTGGATCCAATCTGTTCCGATCCGATCCGATCCGATCCGATCCGGTCCCAATGGATTGATTGATTGGAGGGGAACGCTGCGGTGGGATGGGGGTGCCTATCCAACGGTTGCTGTATGAGTAGAAGATCTGGCAGGGGTCAGGGTACGGCATGAGCTCGACAAGCTCTTGGTGGAAGGTGGAGCAGTGGTGCTTACACTCAAGGATCAAAGCGTGATTGCGGGTGACGATGTAAATGACGGTACGCTTCATGACCAGACCCAACTCTTATGCTTTATCTTTGTGACGTGCCTGCTCTCACACATGGGCGCGTTTCATTGCCCTTGAAAAGTATCCTCGTGAATTCGTCTCCCACTCAATTATTTGCAATGGATTGACTCAGTTTCCAGAGCGAAGTTCCAAAGAGTCTTGATCTTCTTGATGGCAGCTAGCAGCTATGTTTATTTTCTAGGCAGCATGGCAATTCCGGCCAGATGATCTGGCTATATCGTCCAGCATGTCCAGCATCTGGATTTCCGGATGATCCTGAAACTGCCAAGTGGCAGAATGGATCGTTCTGGAAGCAAAAAAAAATAAAAAAATAAAAATGCAGATCAACTACCCCCTTTACCCCCCGGAATTTCTCTCTCCCTTTCTCTCTCACCTTTGTGCTGATGGAGTAGAACGCCTCCTTCCCCTCCCTCCTGCTCGTCTTTCTATACCTCTCTCTCATCTTTGCGCTTGTGTGCGCAGTAGCGCGCCTCCCGCCGTCCCTCCCTCCCTCAAACTCCTCACCTTTGTGCTTGTGCAGTAGTGCCCTGCCTTTGTCTGCTTACCTCTCTCGGCCGTTTGTGTTTGCACGCAGAGTAGCCTGCCAACATCCCTGCCTCCCTCCCTTCCTCCCTCAATCTCCTCTCTTTATCTCACCTTTTCGCTCGTGCAGTAGCACGGCTGCTTCCTTCCCTCTCTTCTGCTTGTCTCCCTGTACCTCTCTCACCTTTGTGCTCATGCACTACTTCCATCCCTCCCTCCCTCCCTCCAGCTCCTCTGTCTGTCTCTCTCGCTCCCTTTTGCACTCGTGCAGTAGTGCACCTCCCGCCCTCTCTCTCTCCACCTCTGTTACCTTTGTGCTCGTTGCGTTCCTCCCTCCCTCCTTCTCAGGTGGGTCTCCCTCCCTCTCTCGGCTCCTCTCTGTCGCTCTATGCAGTTCAGTACTCGTCCGTTCCAAACATGTGTGTTGCAGAGTTCAAGCGTGCTCATTCTGAATGCTTCTGAATTTCTGATGCAAGCCTTCTGAGTGCACACTTCCTAGAAGCAGAAGTAAGAAGACGAAGAACAGGAGGAAGCAGAAGAGAGGGAGAGGGGGAGGAAAGTGATGGATGGGTCAAGAAGAATAAGAAGAATCAGAAAGGAGAGGAGGAAAAAGTGATGGAGAAGGTACAGACAGGGGAGGAGGAGGGTATGGGGGATGAGGAGGAAGCTAACAGGGCACGCCTGTGTTTTGAAATAGACACACACACACACACACACACCTGTCTCTTATACACATCTAGATGTGTATAAGAGACAGGATTATCACTTTGTCCCCATCAGTTAGGGGATT